TCCCTTCCCTCCAACATGTTGACTGCACCACACAGCTTGGTGACATCAGCAAACTTGCTAAGGGTGCACTCAGTCCCACTGTCTGTGTCGCCAAATGTTCAACAGCACTGGTCCCAACACCGACCCCTGAGGAACACCACTCATCGCTGCTCTCCACTTGGACATTGAGCCATTGACCACAACTCTGAGTGCAACCATCCAGTCAAATCCTTATCCCCTAAGTGATCCATCTGTCAAATCCATGTCTCTCCAATTTAGAGATAAGGATGTCATGCAAGACAATGTCAAATGTCAAATCTGACAGTATCAGAAGTGTCAAATGCTTTGCACAAGTCCACTTGTGAGATGAAGATAGAGCCCTGTGTCACAGCACAGCTGTGGGCTCACCACTGAACTACCAGTGATATTTAGCCTACAGCTCTAAAAAGCACAGATGCTTGTAGTTTAAGGAAGGCTTTATAAATGCACCTCAGGACTTTGTGCCATGCTAAAGGAAAGTTTAGGACGTGCTTTCTCTTTTCTGCCCTCAACATTGCCCAGTAGCCCCTAGAAGCATGTGAAGACTGAAATAAAAAAACAGGGGCAACAGGCTAGCAGTAATTAGACTCAGTAGGTACAGGAAGAGGAACAGGGAAGAAGTCCACAGAAATGCAGGTCTCTCCAGAACTTGCCATTAGTCAGGATTCTCATCTCTAGATTCTTTTACTGCCCAGCCAAAATACACCTCATGATCAAAATAGGTATTTTCTCCCCTTCTGACTCCTAGTCCACACCAAGTACAACACTCCACTACTATTTTCAGCTATGATATTTGCATTATCAGCAGCAAGACACTTTCAGAATCTCATGTGCTGATGACCAATGTCAAACAAAGCATAAGGTGATTTATTTCTGTTTACTGAAACTGTTTCAAAAAAATTTTGTCTAGATAAACCAGGACCCTGTACTTAAAATACTGGAAAAAAAAACATTTTTAAAGACTAACTAGCTTAGTCTCCAGAAGAAACTAAGCTTATTATTTTATAGTATTACATGTAGGTTCATGTTGCTGTATGTGTATGATCAGTTATTTATCTCCAGCTCAGACTTCTAACATGAACTGTTAGAAGAACAAATATGGCATAGCTGTAGCTTCAATCATTTTAGGTTTGGTTTTCTTGACACTTCCTACAACAAAAAAATTATAATTTAAGAATGATAGTAACTGAGTTTATATTCAGTACTTTTAACTGTTTCACAGCTAGATACTTTTTCTTGACAAATTCACTCTCCAGAGAAGATGATGAGGATTACATTCCTCTCCTTCAGCACACATTATTCAGTATGACAAGTATTTGAAGCACTCTGTAACCTCAAACTTCTTGTTTATGAAAAAGTATCACCAGATGGCAGTAGAAACCTATCCTTGCCTTCAAACTCCTTAAGAATAGGTGGAACCATTACAAGCTCTACTGCCAAGATAAACACAGAATTTCATCTGCTAGTTGAACACCGCGGATATGTGTCCTAATTGAACCCAATATTTATCTTCTAAAGACAGAGTTTTTCTAGTAAGCAGCATTTAAAGATTTATCAATAAAATACTGTTCAATATAGTTTGAAACAGACCAGCTAACATGACAGGCTTTTGGTTTTTTTAAGGGAGGCAAACTTTCTTCTCTCCAGATCCATGCTGATCAGCTAAAGCTATATATACAGGCAATTTCCTAAAAGCAATTCAAATAAATTTGCTTTTAAGCCTGTACACTAGAAACAACTGTAATTACTACACAGAAAATAAGAGCAAGAGAAGTTACTCATGTGATCTGCTGCCACTAGATGCTTATACTGTTTGTTCACTCCCCAGTGAATATGGATTCAGCAGCACTACAAAGACAACAGCAAGTTCATTTGACAAAAAATACCAGAGTTTCATGGTTTTTAAAAAAAAAAGACAATCTGCAATTTTACAGCTTGACAGAGAGTGAATGGATCAAGAGTGGCCAACATAACACAATGTAGATAATGTACAGCAGAGAGAGTTCCCCAGTTTAAGACTAAACACATTGCACAGGAAAATTAAGGAAGGGAAAATAACAAGGTAGCAAGAAAAGTAGAACTGCATTTACACTGAGGCAGAAGAGAGATCTGATCTTCTTTAAAATAATCTGGGTTTTGGTCCAAATGTACCATTTTAAAATAATGAATCCATCCCATATTTCTTCAAACACATATCATCAATTCAAACAGCAATGAACTGCTACTCCATCAGGCTCCACTGATCCCATACCTTACTACTGAAAGAGCCTGAACTGCTACTTACATAAAACTGAGGGTGCAACAAACACCATGTACACAAGAACAAGTGCTAGATTTAAGTCTCATGGACCAAAAAATGTTCCAGAATCTACTTCTCAGTAGAAAACAGACAGCTGAAATGGAGCAAAACTCTAACTTACTATCTACTTCTTTCCAGAGCCACAAGACTGGCAGACTATGAAATGCACAGAATTGAGAACAAAAATTCCATCTTGTAAAACCTCCCTAGTATCCACAACATTCTAAATAAGATTTGCACAACAGACAAATATCTGCTGAGGCACTTTTAACATTATCTAATTTGCTCCACCACTGGGACTTTTGTTCACTCTTCCCCCTAAAATTTCACAAGGCCTGAGTTGCTAATGAACATGTGTTTCAAGACAGACACGAGTCTGGAGAGTTCACAGGCCTTCTGGCAAGTTCCCAGTCACTCTAGTGATTTTTAAATATCTAGCCCAAAGTCAAGTTAACATATACATTTAGTATTAGTTAATTAACAGTTTGAAATTCTGATTTACTTCTATGCCACATAGCAGGAATAGGAAGAAAAAACATTGAGTGTAGAGGTAATATAAGGAGTTCCTTGCACTCACATAGCGCTATTTAATCAGAAAATCCCAGTAAATGTCAAGAGTTACAACTTAAATTATTTTCTAAGCCTAGGAACCTAAACTCCCACCTTTATAGGGACTAGAGGTTTGATGTTTTGTTTGGGTTTCAGTTTTTCAACTGAAAATAGAAACACAAATAGGCTGCAATTTACTCACTCTGGCTATTCTTTCTGCTAGTCTCAACTTCTCCTACAGGTATAGACTGCAAAGCTGTCATAATCCTCTGAGCAATATCAGATAAAGGCACTTTAGAAGTCGCATATCCTACGTATGATGTGTATTGTTCCATTTTTAAGATGAAACCTAAACACAGAACACACACAAATTATGCATTATATCAGGGCAACAAAAGAATTTGCACTTACATTCTGTTGAAATAAAAGACAAAATATAGAGAACCTGTTCAGCCATTCATTGCCCTCTATAGAAAATGACATGTCCTCCCTAACATGCCTATCAGTTTCTAAGTATTGCAAATAAAAATTAGCAAATTGTAATAATTTACAAAAACCACCAAGTGAAACTTCTCTGAAATGGTGCTTTAATAAACCAATAAAAAACTAGCAGCCCTAATAAGTAAAGTTAACTTCTAATAAAAAAAATCTGACAAACAAGAACTAGCATTTATGTCTGAAATATTTCCCCCCTCCTCCACATCTTTAAACTAGTCTGTATCTAGCATGTGCATACATTTACTGTTACTGATTCTCAGATTTTATAAAGAAAAAAAAAACCTTTCAAAGAACTGCCAAAATAGAGTCAAGACAAAAGAAACAAGTATACTGTCATGATATACAAACATTAGTGATGTGTTGTTTCCGAAAATACTTATTATAAAAGACGCCTATTCCTTAAACTTTGTATAACTGGTATACTCAAGTACTATGAAATACTAATAACATTGAAATAGATACTACAGTTTATTTGTCAGTATAGGAAACAGGTCAGCAACATCTGAAGTCTCTACAAGTTTTGACAACAGCTATTGCTGTTGTAAATTTTACCCTTTTTAGAAAAGCAGTTGCTTTTCCAGTTGGCCTATAGCCGTACAAAGAGCCCATAAATACAACACATATGGGAGAATTAGAAGCCACAGTGTCCATACTGATGACTTTGTTGACTTCATATACTTAGACCAGAACAAAACATAAAACTTACCACAAACACAAGATAAATATCCAACATTTTCAAAATGCTTAAAGGATCCAAGCTGTACTCTACCAAAAACTGCTGTTACATAAATTCTTCCTATACAAGATAATAACTGAAGTCCTGGTACTCTGGCCTTCTCCCACTAAATCCATTGCATAAGTAGACTTCCAAGTCAAGTTTAATCATCAAATAAACAGTATCTCCTCTGTTTATATGAAGATATTTTTCTTAGCTCAAGACCACTGGCAGATTGCAAGTTTGAATACTTACAACATTTGTATCCAGATTCAAAGAGAAATATCGATCTGGCTGCACTAGTATTGGCTATACCCATCTAGCTCAGATTTTATAGTAAGCATACAAAAGGGAGAGATGTGAAATGGCATTCTTTTCCCTGACATTCCAAAAGTCAGAAGTATAATCTTTCCCCATGCACAACTCCTCCTAACTCTTAACTATACAAGCAACACTTCTTTCCTACACAGGGTAAAAACCCTCCCTGACTTCTCAGGATGGGAAGCAGAGTCTTAAAGTCTCAGGGGCAGATCCAAATGAGAACCTAGTAGACTAAATATAAACAAGATGCTATGCATGAGAATATGTCTAAAACCAACACATAGATTTGCCATAAATATTGACAGCACTGAACTGAATTTAGAGTGTTTGGCATTTAATAATAAACACAATGTATAAAGTTAAGCAGCATGAAACCCAGATATAAAGACATTCAATCACTAAGTTAAAAATTTGAAACATTTAAAAATAGTTATACTCACATAAGTTAAAAGTCTGCCATCAAAATAGTTTTAACACTACTGTTACTAAAGTTAAAGCTAATTTACTAACCTTCATCGATATGTACGACACTTGAAAGCAAGCACAGCTGATCCCATCAAAATGTAAAAGACTGGAAGTTAACCATACTACAAAAGCCTGTTTAGTTCCATTGGTATATTAGGAAGCTATACAAAAATGTGATAAACAGTCAACAATGCACATGAAAGCAGAAGTATGAAAGCATCAGGACTCTGAATTGAAATGCCTATCACTATAAAATACAGAGCAAACTCAGAAATACAAAAGGTAAATTTAAAATTATTTTTCTCTGAAGAGCCCACTATGAGTAAGGACTGGTTTCAACGGAGAAGACAGGCAATAAGTTAAATTAAGAGTTATCAGAATGGCCTTAAAACAAATGGTCTTGGTACTTGAAACAGATTCTGGTACATATTCCAACACATTTCTAACAAAACCAAATCTTCTTAGAACTGTAAGGGAAACGATCATGGAATATCTGCCTTGGAGAATTCTCCTGTTCAGAGTGAGTACATTACATTCATGTTCCAAAATCTGGAATGCCTTCTCCGCATTTAGTTTTCAGTTCACATATGAAAGGTTCTTAGCATGCAAGAAAACTTATCTCAAGGGTATGAAATGCTCTTTCTTGTGCTATGCTGTATGCAGTGAAAAAATCAAATTACAGGCTAGCAGAAGAGCAGTCTGAATGTAATTAATTCAAATAACCAACATATTACTTCATATCAAATAACTTTGACAGAACTGAGATTTGAACTCGGAAGGCAGATGTCAAAAGCCACAAAGTAGCATACAATCCAAACTTGGTAACTGTGGAAGTTAAATATACATTGCAATGACAGATAAATGCTAGCCTGGAAAGCCAATATTTATTCCATAAACTTGTAGACAGTTTACATTAACAAGTGTTGCTTTCCTAAGAGTACATTGAAGTTGTTTAAGAACTCCACTAGCGGTGAAATTCTAATCTTCCAGACCACTGGCTGTGGCCTCAGACTGCTGCTCAAGCTTCTCCACCATTTCTTTCAAGCGGTCTTCATCTTTGAAAAAATACACATACAAGTTTCTTTCCATCTGATGCAGCTTATTGGACTCTAAAAAGTTTCTCTTTGACTTCACATCAGCAATCAGATCCATAAGAAGTTGATTTAGTTTATTTAAATCAGCTTCCAGTTGATGAAACAGCTCAGTAAGTTCCTAACAAAAAATACAAGACAAAAAATTATTACTTTGATATTGTTAATACACGAGCTGAACTAGAAATGTAATTTTACTTTTGGAAGCCACTTTAGTTTGTAATTGAAAAGTAATCACAAAAAATAGAAACACAGATGATAAGGGATTCCATTCAATTTATATAACTTTTGAGCTCCATGTAACTGTACTCACATTAGGTTATGAAAAGCTAATTTCATTTATTTCTTCACTAAACCAGATGAGTTAAGACCATAAGAATCCAGCCTTCGACTAGACAGATGATTGAATGACATTTTCAATCAATTACAAGTCTTCATAGCTAGTGAAATCTTAAAAGGGAACAAAACAACTACAACAAAAAAGCCAATTCAGTTTTAAAATTAAATCATTAACTACCAGCTACAGTTTTCCCAACTGTGATTCTTATGATGGTTCAGTGTAAGCAGAGTAGTCATCTACTTGCACAGTATTTCCTTATTAATGGAATTAATCTTCTTGAGAAACAGTAGCAATAGAAAGAGATGTCACTATGTATTAAGAGATAACTTGAATCAATAGAAAAGTAGTTGATTTAATAACATGTAATCCTTAAATATATATTGTTCCAATTAAACTATTCTATACGTTGCAAGCTCACTTGACAGATGGAAGTGCTAAATATATTTATGTATTTAACCAAGAAAGTATTATGTAACAGTAGACTTCTCTCAATCCACTTTTGAGATATCTACAGTTATTTAAAAACCATAACAAGTTGCCTTTAACAACCTCTATTCCCATTTAAAAGAGGCTCTAAACCCAGCACTTGGGAGCACTGTAGCAGGCTTGTCCTACTACAACTGTCCTTCAAAATTCAGATATTCTTATTTAGTCCAAATAAGCCATCCATGGCCAGGCTTCTTAAGGGGTCAAACCATACTATTCAGTTGTTAAGAGGTAACAGGAGAAAAAAAAGCCCATCTGAAATAAAGAGGAATTTAAACGAGTTTTCCAGTGACACCATATTCAGACAGCACATTTCCCACACAGAAACTTACTAGTAACACAGGACTGTACATGCCATCGAAAGAAATTAAGTTAGAGGCAATGATTTGCTCAGAAACAAAAAATTATCACCTGTCAACAGTTACAAAATCCAACATTTGCTAAGAACAACATAAATACTGCATCCATCATCATTATGCTAATAAATCTGTTGCTGACATGTGGGAGCCAGTTTGTGTCTCTAGAGCCTTGATACTACATTTTTCCTCAGTAAAATAACATTACACACATTAAAGTAATAATTTTAATAACCATTAAAAAAAGTAATGATTTTAATAATTACCTGACTACGGAGCTGTATCTCATTTCCTCCACAATACAGAGCATCGTGAAGGGTATCTACATCACTTTTCAGCTTGGACAAAAGGAGATACTGTTCTCGAGAAGATGCTTCTAGCTGATCTTGTACTGTAGCACAGTCCTGCTTTAACTTCTGAGCCATCTGCTCTAGGCTTTCATATGTTTTAAAAAATTGTTGGTTTTTATTTTCTCCTTCCAAAAGCTGATATAGCCTGTAACAAATGAAGTTAGACATACAAGCATTTATAAGTTTCCTAAGCATTCCTGTCATTATTAGTCAAGGGAAGATGTTAATGTTGAGAAGACAGGACTAGTAAAGCACAGTATTGCTCAAGGTACTCTTACTGCACTGCTGTATCTCCCACCAATTTCATGATTCTATATATATATGTAGCTGATACATGATTAATAGGACTCCAAAATATTTCAATATTAAATTAACAGCAATGAAATACCAAAGTAACAGTTAGTAAGTACAAAACAAATGTCAAGAGAAGTTGACAATGTTCGTTTGCCAAATATTTTCCAACACTTCAGAGACTGCAAAGACACAATTTTAAGTGCTGAAGAATAGCAGACTTTAAGGGCCAATGAGAAGTAAGAATAATGTCTATAACATTTTCTATTGATAAAGAGACTGCTAAGAAATTCCCCAATTAGTTATAAGTCATGCAAAAGACAGCAATACTTACTATACCAAATTGTAACCTTTCACTGGATGAGGAATAGTAAAATACTATTACACATAACTTTGCTCGGTTACAATTCCCAGCTCTGCATATTAAAATCTTCAGGAGTTGAGCCCCAATATAGAATCAGATTGGCTTTAATAAGAGCAGGAGCTATATTTCAAAAGTAACTGAGTTTCTTTCAAGTGTCTTGTACTTACAAACCCTGTAGGGCTTATAACTCTTTCAACTTCCCTTCCCTTTTTAAAAATGTTCTGGGTTTGTGTGGCAGGGTTCTTGGTAGCAGGGGAGGGAGCTACACCAGTGGCCCCTGTGAGAAGCTTCTCAAAACTCCCCTGGCTCCAAGATGGACCTGCCTCTGGCCAGGGCCAAGCCAATCAGCTGCACCTCTGCAATAATGTATTTAAGAAGGGGAACCTGGGAATAGGAGGACAACTTGCAAGGAGGACATCGATGCAAACACCAAGGTCAGTGGAAGAATGAAGTGAGGGAGGTGCATGGAAGAAGAGCCCTCCCCCCTGCATCCTGGGGTGAAATGACAGGGCCACCCCTGTGTCACCCACGGAGGTCCACGGTGGAGCAGAGATCTGCCTGCAGCCTGTGGAAGAGCCCACATCAGGGCAGGCGGCTGCACCCAACGAAGGCCGGGACTCTGTGGGAAGAAGCAGCCCCCGCTGTTGTAGTTTAGCGCTGGGAGGACTGCAACTTACGGGGCTGACCCACGCTGGTGCAGTTCAGGAAGGAATCACGCCAGGGAGAGTTCATAGAGGTCTGTCCCCTGTGAGAGGGGAGCCACACTGGAGCAGGGGAGAACAAGAGGAGTCCTCCCTCTGGGGAGGAAGGAGAAACAGACTGACTGTAACCCGCCATCCCCTGCTCCCTGTGGGGCTGCAGGGGGAGGAGGTAGAGAAATCAGGAGCACAGCTGAGCCCAGGAAGAAGGGAGGGGTGGGGGGAAAGTGTTTTTAAGATGTGGTTATATTTCTCACTGTCCCACTCTGTATGTTAAGTGGTGGTGGTGTTAGCGTTTGAATTAAAGTAATGGGGGTTTTTCTTCCCCTAGGGAATCTGTCTTTTGCCAGTGCCCATAATGGGTGAGTTACCCCTCTCTATCCTTATCTTGATCCCTGAGACTTTTGTTTCATTTTCTCCTTCCCAGAGCTGTGTCAGGGGAAGGCATGAGTGAACAGCTGCATAGTGCTCAGTTGCCCTCTGGGCTCAAACAAACAAAAGTGAAAAAGTAGCCAGACGACATTCAGTGATCTGGAAACCTAATAAATCTGAACAAAAATTTTACAAGTTGCCAGTGCAAACACACAACAGGAACAAAAGTAATGCTGCCTAATGCTTGCAGTTATTCATTGTTCAAAACCATACTCAGCTATCAATTATTAATGTCAGACTTTTCCTCCTTTCTAAAAATGGTGCTTTAAGTGTTTTTTAATTATTGATAGGTGAGTATGGTTTTGAACAATGATTAAGTCTGACATTAACACATCTATAATTGTACAATATACCTCATCAAAAGCTTTAGAGTCTTGAAGTGACAGCAACACAGCAGACACTCCTAATCACCTAATCCTATCACCCATCACCTGAGCCATAAGGAGACCTAATTACTTAGATGGCGAAAAAACAGACCTCTACATGGGTGACACTGAATCCAGATAACAAATCAAGCAGTAAAAACACTTTAACATTTCAAATATTGGAAGAGTCATTCCTCTATTCTACCACATCGGGGGTTTTGCAAGCTAAACTAGTAAGGTCATGCATATGATCTGGGAAATCACTGTTCTTAACAGCTCTCTACATCTGTACTTCTAGAACAACTTCCAAGAGGTCCTAGAACAGGGCACCATATAAGACAGGTTTGGCTTTAAACATTCATCATATTTTGGTTATTACTTAGGAATGCTTAGCAGTATTAACAAGACTGATAATTGAACAGTTTTTCCTCAGGCAAGCCTGAAAAGAATTTCAAAGGATAAGCAAAAGGCAAGTCTCATATCTTCAGTGCTTCAGCTCTGGAGAATTCAAAATACTAGTTAGCTATAGCAAGTAACTAAGACCTTAGCAACAGAAAAAACTTAGCTCACCTAAGCCTTTACCTCCCCAGTATTATTTCAAAGTAAATCAAAGTTCAGTAGTGACTATAATGCTTACCTGCAAGAGAAACCATCCTCTGAACTAATAGTATTTCTTGGCTTTGCACGTTGAGTTTGCTCAGTTATCACCTGTAATCTCTGTTGCAACTCATTACTGCTCTGTTTCAGAGATTCTACCAAATTTTCAAGTTCACAGCAGACCTCCTGGTGTTTTTTCAACTCCATTTCATAGGCTAGCTCAATAAGTTCAAATGATGCTTTCTGTCTTATCAAATGCCTGCATATTTTATTTTGTCTTGAAGCATAAGTGTCATGCTGAGCAATCTGATGATCCAAGTACCTTTTCAGCACAGGCGCGCTCAAAAGTTGTGCATTCTCTTTCAGAAGGGGAAGCAGCTCTTCATTGCTTATCCGAATTACATCTTGTTTAATTGTTGAAATTTCATCATTTAAGCTAGATATTTTGGCATCGAGGTCTTCTCGTTTTCCATTATCCTGCATAAACCAAAAAAATTTTTCAGTTTCTTCCCAGTTCTCCCCCAAGCCACTTCTCAAACATATTTCTTCAGTTCACACAAGATTCATCTACTTATGTTACATTAAAATCACTGCATTTTTTTTATCTACAAAATAAAACTCAAACTCTACAAGCAGTTTTATGGAACTTTACAACATAAGGTAAACACAGATTTACAAAGTAGATATCAAATAAGTATTTCAATAAATAGCAATTTAATTCCATTGCAGGGCCAAGAAACAGTGTATTGTGTTAAAAATAGCAGAGCTGTATTTTATTTAACAGGCAGATTTCAAGCATGTCTAACTGAAATCTCACAAGCAAACATAATTTTCTATATTCAGGCGGATGACTATCAACACTGCTATCAGAATCAATCTTTTTAAAATTTCTCTAATCAATCGAGACCTATATGCTAGTCATCCATAAATGAAAATATACAAACCAACATGATGCCTCAAGTTAGTCCATGACTGGCATAAACTAATATTTTTCTTTCTGTTACGATTCCCTCACATTCTTAAATCCCAGAAGCCATACCTCCCCATCACTCATTTCTTGAGAGATTTCTGAGGCTTCAACTGTCAGATTTATTTGGTACAAATACTTGAGTTTCAAAAGAGTCAGCGAACTAAAATTTAAGTTTATGCTATGAAATATAAACAGGAATATATTTATCATTAGCTCCCCAATACCACAAAATTTCAACCAAAGTTAAGCTCTTTTGTTGTACAAACAACCAACAGCCAGTCATAATTTGAAATTTCAAAGTTAAACTTAACTAGAAAGGTACTAATAAGTTCTAGAATTTTAAGGTAATAATTCTGGAAAGTAAAGTTAAAGGTACTCTGCCACACTGAAGAACTGGAGCTGCTTCACAAGAGGAGTTTTGTGAGCAAGACTACAATTTCATAAAAGTGCAACTTCCACTATGTAAAATTAGTTGAAATAACAGTAACTCAGCAATTTCTTTTACTAGATCCAGTTGAACATTCCCACCTGTTTAAAAGCTCCACTACCTTCTATCGACTTTTGCAGCTTACCTTCAGCATGCTCTCTGCGCATTTTATAGCTGAATTCATGCTCTCCTCTTTAGCTTCCATCCGAATTAGCTGACATTGAGCACAAATATATGCTGTCTGGAACCTGGCCATCTCTTGACTCTCTTCACAAACTTCATTAGCCTCATCACAAGTGCCTTGTTCGCTTGTAACTGTAAGATGAGAGCTGCCTTTGTGTGATTCTTCATCCCGTTCAGACATACCTTGACAAAAATGGTTTCTTATGTATGAGGCAAGTGCTGCAGTGCTTTGTTCTTCCTGAGACAAATACTTGTCCAAAGGAAGTTGGGAAAAAAACACTGGCTGTAGAGCTGACCCTTGATCTGAATCAGTGAAGAAAGAGGCCAGTTTCTTAGCTGCATCCGTAAGAGACAGCAGTTCATTATTAAGCTTATTATTTGCTGCAGTAAACACTTCCAGTCCTTCTTTCAAATCTTTACGTGCTTCCTCCTCTTTACTTTTTAATGTTTGTAACATATGACTGTTGACAGAAACCATCATTTGAAGCTTATTATGCCGATAAATTTGAAGTTTTTTTAACTTCTGAAGAGTTTGAAGCTCATCCTCTAAATTCTTCAGTTCCTCCTCTTCTTCATCCTTCTCTTGGCTGCTGCTCTCTGAATCCAAGGGCTTCATCGTTTTAAGGACTTCATCCAGTGCGCTTCCTTCCAAAATTGGCTTACCAGACTCAAGGAGATTATCAAAATCTTGCAGTTCTTTTTCAGATATCACATTCTGCTCATTTACATTTCCACAAAACCACTCCAGAAATGATTTGTCTTCTGAAGATTCAAACAGCCAGTCAAAATCGTCTCCATTAAGCTCATCGGCTTTTGGATATCCAATTTTCTTAAGAGTTTCCACAAAATCATTTCCACAGCTCATGATCAAAGTATTTTTTGTGAGCAGGAAAGATCCAAATAGATAAAAAAATCTGCAGTATTATTTCAGTTGTAAATTTTTTGTCATTTTAAATGACCATTCAGTATTTTAATAAAAAGAGTCTGCACAGGAAAAAGGAAGTGTCAGATTACACCAGAAAACTGGTGTTGAGTGGCTGGATTAGAGTGGCTATTCAAAGATTCGAAATCAATTTTTTTTTCAGGGATATCTTAACATAATTTGTTCATCAAATCAGGAAACATTTTTACATCAATTAAATCCCCAATCTTTGCAAGCACTTATGTTTGTATGTTTGTCTTTAATTCACATAAATTTACTATTAAAATAGAATAATACTACCATTACTTTAAAAGCAACAGTTGTAAATATTATATAATTCACTGGCCTGCAAAAGTGATTTACTTATATAGTTTTCCTCACAAATAAAAAAACCACCCACAATCATTTTAACTCTTCCAAAATGAAAGTAGCTTTCAACTTGTTCTAAAAACAAACTACAGTGATGTTACATTGCACTTCAAGATCTTGCTTATAAAGATTTTTTTTTTTTACTTCAGCAGAGAGCAGAATCTTATCTTCTAAATCTTCATTTCAAAGTTTCCTCTGAAAATTGAACAAGAAAGTCTTCAACATAAAAATATCTCAACAGAATAATGCAGGTTTTTGACCAATTATAAAAAAATTAAGATCAGCGTAAATACTCGTGAAAATAATCACAAAAGTTACAAGAAAAGGGAGTTTGCTGTTTTGCTGTTTCACAGCAAACAAATCATCAGCTTTGGGATCCTAAAGTACAACAGACAGCAAAGAATAGGATAAATTATCAAGTCAGAAGACCTTGTCTGCAACACTCTGGTAATATCCAGGCCTTTTTCTTTAGTTTGGTATTACTTCATACTTTGTTTCTAGAACATACATTCCACCAGAAAACCCCACTTTGCCAGCCGGCCTGGAGGGCAGGAGTGCTGAACAAGTAAACTCATCCTTCTAAAATTCTGTGTTTACTGAAATTAGCTTAGAGTTACAGATTATGTAAGAAATAGCATTTGTTATGCAAGTTTCATCTCAGAGGGCAGCCTTCCAACAGTCCTCTGCCTTCCGTGCTAAAAAAAAAAGGGCTGTCATCAAAATAAATAAATAAAAAGGGGCGCACATAGCTTTACGTATGTGTATGCAGATCATCAAAGCACACCGCCACTGCCACTCAAGCCGCCATCAAACACAAATAAAACCTTCGGAGCCCTGAGGAGGCTGTCCACGATCCCCGTCCCCAGCACGGGGACGCCTAACCGCCACAGCTACCTCAGCCCGCACGAGTGGGTCTCTCGGGAGCTTTATCCCAGCGCCGCTGAGCTCAAACGCCCGCCGGCCAGGTCCCAGCTTTGGGACAGCTGCTGCCTACACAGCCCCAAGGGTAATCGCGGCTAAAGAGCCGCCCCGGAGCAGGACAGGGCAGGACGCGAGGAGCGGGGACGCTGCGGCGGCTCTGTGTGTCCCCCCCTCCCATCCCCGGTGCGAGAGAGCCCCAGCCCCACACCGCTCGATACTCACCTCAGCGGCGGCAGGACGGGAAGGGGGAGAGATAGCGGAAAATGGCGGGAAAGCTGAGGAGAGGCGGTAGCCTCCCCGCCCCCGGGAGCGCGAGCCCCGCGCGGAAGGGGCGGGGCCGCCATCCAAGCTCGAGCGCCAACGGCTCGAAACGCCCGCCACGCGCAAAGTCTCGCGAGGCCTCCCCCCTCCCCGGCAGGGGCCGCCGACCGCGCCTGCGCGGCGCGAGCCGCTCCCCCGCCTCCCTCCCGAGCGGGTGGACGGCCTCCCCCCGCCTCGCGCCAATGAGGACGGGGGGGGTGGTGGTGTGTCAGTGACGTCACAGGGGCGGGGCCCTCCCGGCGAGCAGGGGCGGGGCCAGCGCGTGGCTGTCACCCCCCGCTGAGGGGGCGGTGGCCGCCCCGCCGTGCCGGCGCCCGTTACCGCTGCAGCCTTGGTCGTGTTCCCGGAGGGCGGAGGAGGCCGGGCTACCGTCTGACCTCGCTCGGCTTTGATCCAGACCGGGCCTCCCACCTGCGTGTGTGTCCACCGGCCTCCCCAAAGCTGACAGAGGGCTAGTGGCAGCTACCTCACTGATGTCCACAGTTGCTGCCTTAGCGAGCCATCACTGCATGGTCCTTTTCGTATTTTTCCATGCGCTTTGGCGCCATTACTTTTTCTAATGCCTTTTTCAACCTGCCAGTACCCACTGAAACCTGAGCAAAATCTACAAAATCCCTGTTTTCAATGCTCTTCCTCATGATGCTCCCTGTTTTCTTGGATTTTTGGCTGCTGCTGCCCATGGAGCCACCAGGAAGCTCTCAGCAATGATCCTGGGACCCCTTCTGCATTGTGAGGACTGGTTCTAAGTTGAGCATCATGTAAACTTTTCACTAACAGTTTGAACATCCTTTATCAGCTACTCATCCAGTTTAGCCGTCTTTGTTTCCTGTTTACATTGTGCGTGCCACGTTTTTCTGGGCTTCCCTGCTTGCCTCACGATAGCCTCCTTAACTTTCTCACTGAGTAGTGCAAGGGGGAAGTTTGGGCCACAGTATTCTATTTGTCAGACATTTTACCTTGGCTTCTAGTACAGTATTTTTTAAGCTTTTTTGTAGGTTTCTTGCTTTTGAACTGCTCATTTAGGGATTTCTGGCATTTTTCCCCATTTTTGCATAGGTCAATTCCTTAAAATTGAATATCCGTTTGCTTTATTTGTCTTGCTCTCTTCCTATAGTGTTACGCTTAATTATATTGTGGTTGCTACTATGGAGCAGCTCAACCACCAATAGTTCTTGAATAAGATCCTCTGCACTACTGAAGACTAAATTCAGAATGGCGTTTTTTCCTTGTGGTTTCTAAGGCCAGTTATTCTAGAAAGAAATAATTTATTGCATCCAGAAATGTTATCTCTACATTTCACCCTGGTGAGGCATTGACCCAGTCTGTATGTGGGTGGCTGAGTCCTCCCACTACATGTCCTAAATGTGCAGCATCTCTAATCTCACTTAATGCAATTGTTGAAATGAATCAACACAGGCAAAAGAGCAACCTCGCAGCCCAGCACAGCTAAGACTATCTCACATGAGGTTTTCTAGATCAAAATCAGCACCTGTATCGCTTGCAAAGCGCAGTATGTTGATTTCTGGTATAATATGGTTTGTGCAAGACACTTCTAAATTAAACCCTGACCTGGCAGTGAGTTCTCATGGGTAAAGAGAGCTGTAGTGTTGAATTCCTCCCCATCAGATTACAGCCTGATATGCAGCTACAATTTAGGCTAGCTGAAGTTTTCAAATCGTCTTGCAGATAGAGTTCATTACCTCTTTCTGATGGGGAAGGAACAAAAAGCATTCACTAGCCTATTTCATAAGATTATGCTGTTTCAGTTCAGTCAGTTACTTGCAGTAAAACCAACTTTTTATACAGTAGTATTTTGGAGGCTTATACGTCACAGTATTTTTATTTTAAAATTTCATAAATATCAGTGTTACTCATGTAAAAATGCCTGAGTAAAAGCAAATTTTAAACACTTAGAAAACTTTCTAGAAGTCTGCTGTCGTGAGAGCAATTCAGCTCTGCTACTGAAGTCCACATCCTAGATGAAAGAAGACACATCTGATAAAAGGTTGTCTATCTTTTGTCTATCAAGTTGTCTATCTGGATTGGTGCAACTAATGCCTTCAGTTCCCTGTGACCGGTCCCTCTCCCTCTTTCCAGACTCACACTCACATGCATACTCACTTCCCTCGTGGCCTTTCACAAAACCTATGTCCCCATCTGTGTAGCTGGGCAAGCAGGACTATGTGCTCATTCTGTAGCTGGTTTGTAGCTACATGCATGCTGGCCCGTAGCCACCTCTTGAAAACAGTGAAGAGCTCAGTTAGGCCAGCCTTTGAGCATGGTAAATTCAGGAAATATTTTATTTCTCTTTCTACCCAGACATGTAATTTTCCTGGAAGTTTTCACCATAGATTATTAATGCAGCCTCCATCATATCTCTGCTTTGTCAAATTTGGTGGAAATTAGCCTGAAGGTTCAGAAGTTATCAGGGAAAGTAGTAGGGGAACAGATGGATGAAAGAGGAGTTTACAGACAGTGTGATCTCATAATCCCCGCTGGTATAGGAATTCAGACTAGAATTGAAATATTTTAGGACAGAACATTGTGCACTTAAAATTCTCATTTTGAAAGAACAAGTCTCTAATGTGAAACAAATTTTCATTTGTTAGACCATTGGTCGGCTTTTAGGACAGAGATTAAATGATAGCCTTCCCCTACAAACACATTATAAACAAACATATCTTCAAAATTTCCTACGGTCCCTTTCCCCACACAGACACAGCCCCATGTGCTTCAGTGTTTGCTTTTGCAGATCCTTATGGGTCAAGATTGTTTTTCTCTGATTCATTTTTTTCTTGGTTGCATTCAGTCAAAACATAATTAAAGGCTTACCTTACCCTTTTTTTCCATTCTAGGAGCAGTTGTTTTGCATCTGTGTTGGAGAACCGGAGAGGTTGCCTAGATAGCATATTCCCTTCACAAGCCTTTTTATGCAGGGTTCCAGCAGATTAAGACATAGACATTTCTGGAAGGATGTCTGTAAACTCTGCACTATTACATCAATGCCGTGTTCTGTTTGTTCCACTGCAAAATATGACATTGTTGTGCTTGGTACCTCAGAGAGGAGCTATCGGTTACCACTGACCAAGGTTGTAAAAAACAGCCAAGGAGTGCAGTTGCCACCATATAGGCATTGCAGCTGGCCAGTATAAACCCTCCCACTGGGATACATGTGTCAGATGAAAACCCCTTCATTTTGTTTTGTCTTGTGAAAAAAAAAAAAAAAAAAACAACAAAAAAAACCCCACACTACAGAGAAGACGTGGAAATAGGTTTTTAGCAAATGAACTGTAACTGTATAGAAGCTTTTTCATTTTGCATCATACTGCACATCTGCTAGCAGCAGCAGGATGTTAGAGGTCCCTGCTGCAAGTTGCTGGAGTAGCAAGCACACTTAGAAAACACCCTGTCCTAAAAGGTAATTAATTGCTTTAAACAATTTTATATTCTGAATTAAGCACAGCTTTTGAAGTGACATGTGAACTTTTATTATAACGAAGTCAGAAGACAGGAATTTGGCACCAGCTTGCTTTCTCTCCCAAGCACATATATCTTCTCTCTATAGGAACGGTAGATTTCATTCTGAGACCTTGTATTCCCAGAAAAGCAGGTCAAAGTGATTAGTTTTCTTCAGCTTTGTTGGATTCAATGCCATAAATATAAAAGAAGCGCCTACACGTTTGGGCTAAGTACTAGTGTATTAAGACACGTGATGCACAAGGTTATTTTTTTCCCCCGAAAATTGTTTGTTTACTCTTCTGAGCCTATTTTGGATCAAAACACTGATCAAGGCTGATCAGCTGGGCTGACTGCAAATGGGTTTTGTTCATAAGAAACTGAACCTTTGTGTGGGAACGTACCCTGGGACTCAGCAGGGGCCTGGGCAGGGCCTGTGAAGGACCAGCCTGATCCCTCCCGCCTCCTTTCGCCGCTCCCCCTCTCCCATCCAACCCCAGCCGGATCGTTCCTTTGCGCAGCACCGACACAGGAGAGCAAGAGACTGGGGGGCTCTTCCAGAGCTGTGTCCTCAGCACGGGGAGTGTAAAATCATAGCAGAGAAAAGAAAATCAGCCTCCTACCAGCAGCAGTCTCTGCTCTTCCAAAGCCAGCTCTCCTGGCAGCAGAGGTGCCAGCCCTCCACTCCGCGCTCTGCCACGCCATAACCATACATTTCTTTTTAGGTACCATGGTACTTAAAAACACTGGGTAATTCACAGTTTCTAGAATAATAACAAAGAACTTTCCACTGAAAACACTTTAAGCTACCTCTTTTAGAGAAAGATGATGGTTATATCATCATTAATTTAATTATAATTCAAGGCTCTTTTCCATTTAAATAGGCTTTGAGAAAACATTTTCATCCTGATAGGCAAAGCAAGCTTCTGGACTTCTAATATTAAATTTGAAATATCCATCATTAGCAAAATGAGGAAACTTACTTTTTTAATAAACAAATCATAAGCCATTACAAATGTCATAAAAGAAGCTGCACAGGTCATAAACTGTACTGGATTTACAAAAATAGCGCCACCACGTTTGTCATAATTCTATTACCCCACACAATTCTTTTTTGTGCTGTTCCAAAATATAACGTTGCTAAAAGTTTGTTATAGATTTTTCCTGTTGGAGATTAATTTATAATAAGTTAGTAATGTGCTGGATTGTATTTTCTGTTTATCCTGTGATACTAGTAATTTGAAAAGAAGCTGTGATAAGAAATAGTTTACTCTGCTTTGTGCATGAATATTTTTACTGATTCAGCAGCTCAGCTTATTTGGATCAAACATAAACATATCAACAATCTACTTGCCATGATTTCAACTAAAGTGCAACATGTGTGACAAACTGAAACAAAAACCAGTGGATGTCACACACTACAGCTGAGAGTATAACGATGCAATTTGCAAAAGCTTTTCAGTTCTGTCCCTCTTCTCATCTCTCCTAGTAACAAACTAAAATGCTCATTTTTGTCTGGCTGTACATCACTTGTGATGTGACTTTCATATTCGACAAAATGCACATGCAGAACTTGTAGGC